GTGCAAACTTTTGACTCAAAGTCCCCCTCATGAGTGAATTTGGCTAAGTTTTTTAAAATAGACTTATATACATTTTAAGTTCCTTAGTGACTGTTCAAAATACTCTAAGTGTTTAAAAATAGATTTATATACATTTTAAGTTCCTTGGTGACTGTTCAAAATACTCTAAGTGTTTAAAAATATACTTATATACATTTTTTACAAGTTCCTTAGTGACTCAATTCGGCTAAGTTTTTTAAAAATGGACTCGGGAAATTAGCTACACTCCTAAGTTAAAAGAAATACAGAGTATGAGTACAAACATCAATTACATCACCAATTGATCCCATGACCCGACACGCGACAACATATTACAATAGTCTAGCTTAGATGTCAAAGACTTACCAAAACAAGAAGATCCAGGTGGAAGAGTTAGTGATGATTCCATAGAATGCCCCCCTTATATACCACAAAATTGTCTAAATTAATTTAGAACAATGGAAATTGAACAAACTGAAATTGAACAATTGAATAATTGAGGTCAATCAATCAAACATATTTGGTAATTGTCTAAACCTGCCCCAGACAGACTGGCGCCAGACAGGCAGAGAATGTTGACAATTGGTTTTGATTGGGGTCATTAGGTTACACTCACAGTCATTCATTTGAGTCGGGCATAGTTTACGCATAGCCATAAGCGTGCCCGAGTTCGCGCACAAACCTAACATGATTTTGAAAATATACATGGGAATGGATGTGGATTTGAAATTTTAATGGAGTTTGAACATTTATATAGGCTTGTATTGGACGAGATCTAAATATAGCTGGTCTTTAAAAAAGTGGCCAAAAAAAGCTCACCATTTCCAGACATGATTTTTAGTATTAACAAAAGTAGAAAATTTATATAGGGGTGTATAGGTCGAGAGCTGGGTCTTTAAAAAAAGTGGCCAAAAAAAGCTCTTCCATTTTTTTCTCATTTTTCCCCTATAAAAAGTGCCCTAAAAGTGCCTCTAAAACGCCGAAAGTGGGGTCATATTGCTATATTATATCTACTCAAATAAAACAATTAATGGGAAATAACTTTGATTGCCGATAACTTTTTATGAGAAAATCCAAAACCAAGAGATAAATAACCTTGATTAACGCATATAATTGGTCGGATGTACTACAGTTCTTAACTGTAAACGTTGTTTTTGGTACGGTACTGGTTCTTTTCCTTTTAACCATTGGTAGCAGCAAGAATAATTTTTACGTACCAACACATCACAGTAATTTACAAATTAGTTAGTGGTGTTGCACCTTATTTATTACAGGCGTAGGCCTATCCAATTTATTGATGTCTTAACTGTATATTTTTTGCTTTTTCTGTTGGATTCCAAATTGTTAGTTTATGCTAAGCGATAACGCATTTTAGTAAAACATTTATTCAGCAAACCATCATGAATTGTTCAAACGCTTTGAACGTTGTTTATGTATCAATAGTTCGTGGTCTATTTTGGTAATTTTTACTATAAATCACCAATCTAAATCGTCTATAGTAGGCCTACTGTACTTCATTTCATATAGCAAACCGATTCAGATAGCATTTCGACAGAATTTCGGGTCATCTCCGGTCCAAGCAATAGCAAATATAAATTGTTATGATAAAATTTTATGACATTAACAAAGATTTCAAATACTAATTTTATATGTACTTTTTTATGCTTAAAGCGTAGCAAATTCCCTAATTAAGTTCTGTATTTTTGTGTGTATGTCTGTTGGTAACGCATTAATGTCCTTTATTTCTCAGTATTTCACGGGTTGACAAGAGCACCTTGAAAATGAAAATGTCAACCCGAATAAAGTGTTAAATTATGAGTTTGAGGTAGTACCTTAAATACCTTTAACCATTATGTCATAATCCTTTAAATTCTGAACAAAATTGTACAAATCCCATTTCCAAAGGTTGTTGACAAACTTATGGGAGAAAGTATGTGTCAAGAATGCTGATACAGTTTTTTTAGTTTAATCATTGCATTTAACATATGGACCAAAAAGATCCGGGTGAAATTTAATTGCGAAGCATTAGTTTTGGCTTGAAACTGTCAGATACTGTATTTGCGAAGGAATAGTTTTGTCAGCATATCTGAAAATATGCAAACCAACTGCTGTGCTTTAGTATATAAGAAGGTTTTAACTGACTATGATGAGATCCCCGTGCGTAGAACGGGCACACAGCTAGTTTCATAATAAACTACAAGTTACAAGTTACAACTTGTAACTTGTAATTTCCATTAGATTTGCATTGGGCGATCAGCTGATTTACTAATAATATTAGTTTGTACTTTATTATGAAATGGGCCCCTGGAAGCGAGTTAGCGTAGCGAACGAGCTAAACCTGAAGGCAAGTGAGCACAGCAAACGAGCTCCAACCTAAACGTGAGGTGAGTAAGCGTAGCAAACGAAACGAACTTCAACCAGGACGTGATTGAGCTATGCGATGCGAACGAGCTCATCTTGAAAATAAACGAGCATTTGTCATAAAACCACATTAGGACAGGACGACGTCTGTCGGGCCAGCTAGTTATTTTATAATTAAAAAGTTAATTTCATAATTAAAAACTATAAAATTAATTTAAACTTTGTCAACTTAGTGGTTCTAGCGGCGAACGCCGCGAACGCTGACACTTCAAGATATGTTAGCCAATTGTCCCTCCCGTGTGCCACTACAATTTACAAAACTAACCAAACTCACGGACGCACGAATCACCACGATTCAAGAAGAATCGATTCATCAGCAGGAAGGAACAGGAACCGTTTCGAGTTCGAGCACGGCCGCCTTTAACTACAGGCCGCGGCCTTGTAGAATTGGCAACGTTGCAAGTGGTGCTGTCCAACCCCGGAAGTCCCATAAGATAACATGGAAAGCAAGTGACACCAGCTCAGTAATTTACGGATTATTTATTTAAATTTAAATGTATGATTATAAATCCATTAAAATATTTAATATAAAACATATAGTGTTCTAAACCAAAACGATTTTAATTGAAAATCTATTCCTACAATCAAACCGGAGTCGTTTTTTATAGCCCTAACCTACTAGCCCCGTGACCAATCCGTCCAATGTCCTACTCCTAGCCTATCCTATTCTAAAAAAATTCGCATTTCAAAACTAGGTAAGTTAGCCCGGTTTTAGCCTTGTAGTTCAAAATAATTTATCTTCTCGCAACTCTGACTGTTCTGTTGGTTAGTAGGCTACTTAGTAGTTAAAGGAAAATGCAAGATTTACTTGACAGAAAGCAGGGCCGTCCAGAAAGCTCACTAACTTAGTAGCCTAGTAAACAAAAATTCTGATAAGGTTTAACCTTAAGGTTTAAAAGGTTATACCAGTCTACCAGTAACAGTGGCAGTAGAGCAATGTGTTTAAAAAATCTTGTGAAGCTACAGTTTCACCCTAACCGTTGAAAGAAAAACCTCTAAACTAAAAACTCATTAGGCCTATTTCTTTTTCTTATGGCTTTGGCTTTGGTTGGACTAGGTAAGTTACAAGGATGATCAAATAAAAATTTCATCTCGGTCTCCCAAGCTGATTTAAGTTAGAGCTATGTTAGGGGATATGGTAATTATAAATCACTTTTGAAACTTTAGAGTAATATGCCTAAGGTAGGCCAAATAGTTTAGGCCTACAGGCCTGTCATTGGCATCTACTGGTACAGCTAAGCTAACACAAGCTTTGATATTGGTATAGTTGATGGGTTTAAAGTTGTTTGTGATAGGCCTAACACTATCTTAGGCCTAGGCTATTAACTTTAGGAATATTATGCGATATTTTGGTTATTCAACAGGGTTAGCTTAGTTGACGTGTCATCTACTGGAAAATGTCCTATCAACTTTAAGTGTGTAAGCCTAAACCCTTTATTTTAACTTAAATATTAACTTATAGCTGCACTTTAGTCTCTGTCCTACACTCATTCAAATGATAAATATCTATATAACTTAAGCCTTAAGGCCTAGATTAGCCTATTTGATATACCGTACCGATTATTTCATTTGGCAAGTTAGGTTAGTTTAACCTAACTAACACATCGCTGGTCTCGGTCACGAAGGAGGTAATTGAATTAGTTAAAATTGTTCTTTATGTAAGAGCAAACTAAGTTAACTTACAGAAGACCGTTGAAGATGTGACAGTAGGGTTGTAAGTGGCTAAGTTTAGTGCTGCAAAACAAAATTATAGGATCATAGGCTAGTTAACTTAACTCACAGTCACAGCCAATTGTAGAATTAAGTTTAGACCTAGCCAATGTAACTAGACTTGTCAAACTCACAAACGTTTAATAGCCTGTAACTAGAGTTCTGTTGTTCTGTTCGTGGTTCTGTTCTAATCGTTTTTAAACGTCGTCTGCGTCGAGCGGTTAGGTCTGATAAGAGTGACCATAGAGTAGCGAATTAAAGGAATGAGAGTGAAAAATGTCTTTAACATCAACATAATCAATACTCTTTGGCCTCAGTATCTATGCAAAACTGCAAAGAAAAATTATAAAACAGCTGCGTCTAGATTTTGGCTTCATACAAGTAGGCCTAGTTAAGTCTAATTTATTTTTAAACTTTAGTTCAAAAGACGTTGTTAAGAGTAAGGTTGTGATAAAAATCACTATAGCTCAAGAAATATATAAGTAGCGAGGAAAGTAGCTAATATTCCGCTACAACTACTTATAAAAAGTAGCTCGCTACTTCTCTAGCTACAAAATTTGAAAAGAAGCATAGCTACAGCTAACACTACAAAAAAAACAGCGCGCTACTTGTAGCGCGCTAATTCCCAACACTGCTCAGGACTATAGGCTTATCATCGTATACTTAATATTCATTAATATCTGTCAAATTTGTATTTTATCTATTTAATTGGTCTATTCATATAGGTATTTTGAAAATAATCCTTCCATAAGATAGATAAATACCGGTACATAGGCCTAACTCTTCACTGAGCTAAGTGGGTTATATTGGGTATTTTCACCAGTGAAGTGGGTAAAATTAAGTTACCAAAGTAAATTAGAAACCATGTTTATTCGTGTTATTCACTATTTATGAAGTACAAGTAATACAGTGATGTTGAGATGCCTCGAGCATGTGTTGTTCCTGGTTGCAAATCAAATTATAGAAATAGTGTAAAAGATGAAGGAGTTACTAGTACATTTTCTTTCCGAAGAATCCTGAATTGTGTAGGGCGTGGATTCGTGCAATTTCTAGAACAGATTGGGAACCCAATGCAAGCTCTGTGGTATGTATTAAACATTTTCATGAGGATGATGTAAGTTTGACTGAAAAGTTCCAAGACAATGGGGAATGGCATGAAAGGCGTAAATCTCATCAACTCGATCCATTCCAACGGCAGGTTTTTATTATCTGAAATAAGAACAAAAAATATTCATAGAGCATTAATTAATAAACAATTACAGTACTAGAAATTATCTATAAGTATAAAAGAGGATGTTTGTATATATATTTGGCAGTGATAAACTTAGACACCGCTGAACCGATTGCCACGAAACTTGGTACATACGTGTAGAATTTCATGGAATAGGTTTATACACCATCAATTTCGTGATCCGTCCAATCGGCTCCGCCCCAGTGGCTCTGGAGTTTCCCATGTTAACCTTATGAGAAATGGAATTAATGAATCTTAACAGCTGTTTAAACAATTAAACAAGTTGGTTCTGTTCTATAATGTTCAATAGCATTAAAGTTACAAGGATTACCAACAGGGTGCAGCACTATTATTTCTTTTACATTTATGTATGTAAAAGATTGACAGCTAATTAACAGTTAATTAACATTAATTTAGCTAATTAACATTAGCTTATTAACAGCTAATTTTCAACCAAAAGGTGAGTGAACATAGCGAACGAACTTCAACCAGGACGTGATTGAGCCATGCGAACAAGCTCACTTGTGAAGTTAAACGGGGCAAGGCCCGTGGGTACAGCTAGTTGGATATATATGTATCTGGCTGAAAAAAATTAAAATGTTAATTCTCAAGCTAACACTGTTTACTACACTCCAATGTATCTAATGAAAATTAATAAAATCATGTTGACCTAATAAACTCTATTAGTTCTCCACACCATCTAGGTACAAACTATTTTCAATTTATTCATATTTGCAACCATAGTGGAACATTTTTACAAAATTTCAAAGTTATAGGCCTAGCTCAAACAGTTAAGGAGTCATGAATGTTTATGTAAAAATCAAATACAAAAACATAGACCGAAAACGGAATGAGATAGGTCACATGTTATAGTACGTTTTTTGTTTCTTTTGACATGCTGAATGTCAATTTGATGTTGAAATGCAAAAAAGAGTCAAAGCAGCAGAAAAATCAAGTTTTGACTTAATAAAATTTATACATTCTTACCACCAAGACTGTGTGTACAAAATAATACAAAGTTTACGTACTTCTGTCTGTTTTCAGTCTTGAAAATAGTCTGGGGATGACTAGTTTCAGGTCAAAGACCCATTATCAAATCCACATCAAATTGAAGAGTTTATAATCCGACGGAACGGAAGTCTTCATCAAAACGTACATATACACGAGTCGACACAAAGTTCAAATTTTCACACGGATATGAGTACCTAACTTACATTTAAAAAGCTATAGGCCGGCCACATTCTTTCACGCACAGGACAAACCGACACAGGAACTATGGATTAGTCCACAATATTTCTAAGGCGGTTTTAGGGGAGGGGGAATTTAACCTAAAACTGCCTAATATTGTAATGAAATCCATAGTTCCTGTGTCGATTAGTTATTGTTTGTCGGACATGATGGAACTGTGGATAGTTCCATCGTGTCCGCCATACAAACTGTGTCAGTGTGTCGGTTTATCCAGTATGTGAACGAATGTGGCCGGCCAATAGCTTTTTAAATGTATATAAATGTGCTTGTATCTATGTGTAAATTTGAGCTTTATGTGTCGACTCGTATATACTGCATATACATTTTGTTGAAGACCTCTGTCGGATTATAGACTCTCCAGTTTGATGTGGATTTGATAATGGGTCTTTGACGCGAAGCTAGTCATCCCCAGACTAATTTTTTAAGACTGAAAACGCGTGATGAGGTACGTAAGTTTTATACGGTTTATAGACTTGTTCTTTCACTAAAAAATCCCAATAAAGACTTAATACTTTTGAAAATAAAATATTAAGAAGCGTTTTTTGGACCAATAAAAGATAAGTTTTGTGGAGAATAAAAAAATAGGGCGTTGAGGGAATTTCATAGAGAACTAGATAGGTACCTATTGCGGTAGTGGCAAGTAGAAGGTTGAGATAGCTGGGCCACATTCAAAAGACAGGTGAAAGAGAGATAGTAAAGCATGTGATAAGAGGTACTATGGAGGATAGGAGACCATTGGGAAGACCAAGGATGCAATGGATTAATAAGGTTACAAAAGTCCTAAGGAGAATGGGAGGAAACCTAGAGCTGGCAGAAGATGGAGGATCCTGGAGGCACATGGTTGGCGAGGCCAAAGACCGCCTAGGGTTTAAATGGCCACAGGAGTGCGTAAGTAAGTAACGGTAGATAATATAACGGCTGTGATCTCGGGTATTATTCATGATGACATTATAATAAATTATAAATCCACACTAAGACAAATTTATTTCTACTGAAGCTAATGGTTACCCGTCTCAGGTAGGCTAATCTGTTAGATATTATATAAGTTAGGTAGGCTATATCATTTACTGTTATGTCTATTGAGCTATTATGAATGTTTAGTCTATGTTTAACCAGTTTAACATTAGACAACAATGTAACAATAAGTTTAATAGATCACCACTAGTGATATGGGTAGCTATTATAAACTAATTAATTAGGCCCAAATGTAATAAAAAAAAAAAAATAAAATAAAATTTTTTTTAAATAAAAAACTATTTTGAATTACACTTTTAATTAGTCTGCAAGCTGTAAATAATTAACACATTCCGCTGCTGAAAACCTTTAAACAGGCGCTCGCCAATTGCGGCGAGGCCTGGGCGGAGCCCCGACGCGCTAACTGAATCAGCGATCGCTATTGGTATTGAAATATCTCAGTAAGACGAATCACAAAAGAGCAGTGGTGATTGTTCTGCGTTACTCCGAAAGTGGACGTAGTTCACTGAAACACCCAAAGGTAGCAGCACTGCCTGGATCAATAACCAGAGTCTCTGTAATACGGCTCGAATTGAGATATCCCCGAAAACGGGACAAAAGCATTGCCAGACGGGATTTTACGGGCAATTTTTGTACCAACCTACACCAGAATAAAGCTCGCATTATAAGCTACAGGCTGGTAAAGATTACAACGTTCCCCGGACAATGGCTGAACCACACTGATCCGGCAAACAATGCAATGCGCGATCCCCCACCGGTGGACCCGCCGCATTGAATGTGTTAAAATGCAGTTGAATTTTTTTAATTCAAATTTTTAGTTTAATTGGTTAATAATAGTTACCCAGATCAAACAACTGATTTTTCCGTTCCCTTTAAACAATTGTAAAAAACAAGATTGCATCTTTATTACATCGAAATTCAAACAAGTTTATGCATTTCAACTCACTCTTTCATTTAGGCTGATACCAATAATTGGCAAAGCCATGTAGGTACGGATGTAATTTCATTAAACTTACCAACATTAAGTAGCATTTGCATTTGTTTGGTTTAGCCTTGCTCGGTCCCCATATTTTTTTCTGAATGGAAAAATGTTGTAGCAATTAGTTCAACCACCATCCTCCTATTTACTAGTTACATCTACTGTAGATGTACTGTTGTAGAAATCTTTCACCCATGCTGTTCAGCAATCCAACCTGGTAAAACATAAATGAGTTAGATGATCTCTACTACATACATTGACATCCAGACAAGTTTTTTTTTTTATTCAACTCTTTCATTTAGGGCTGATACCAATAATTGGCGAAGCCATTAAGGTTAAGATTTAATTATCCTACATTGAACCATTGAGCCTGCATGCCTGTTACTTAATTCCCTAAGCATTAAATGATCATGGTAGACTAAATAGGTTATCAGTTAGATGTCCACAGTGAAGCCTAGCCTAGGCACTCCCTGATACTACCTTGTCTGGACAAAAATTTAGAGAAACTAACTATGTAATGCTTCTATAGGCTATGTCTAACCCACGAATACAGTACTAACTTAACTTAGAACAGGAACAGGCCAATGATAGGCTTTAAACGAACAGACACGGTATGGATCATAAATTTAATGTCTATAATGCTGTAAAGTTAAGACAATAGGTCAGTAGCACGAATACTTTCGTGAAGGTCATTTTGTTGTTCAATTATTACTTTAAAAAATACATTTAAATTTATCTGCGTTCAACTTTATGAAGGGATTAAATATACGCAATTTATGGATGCTACTTTCAGATCTATGTTGGCTATATTTATAAAGACAATGCCTAGACCAAACTACAAAATAGGCTTACTTAATAAGTTAATAAATACATTGGCAATTTGACAATAAGATTAGAACTGAAATCTGAGCTGGTTCTTTAATCTATAGTTTTTAGTTTTTGTTACCAAAATCAAACTTACGTATTGTTGCTGATAAAACTCGATTCTTCAAATGATTTAGATAAATAATAATTAACTTAGCATATTTTGTGAAAATAATGTACTGTACAAGTTGAATAACAACAGACTACTTCTACTTGATTATACAACTGTACTTTACTTACTTGTCTGGTCTGCATTCTGCAAGTGCAAGTGCAAAGTGTGTAAATATTAAAAGTGCGTGTCGGCGTCGGCTGCTTCCAATCCAAACAAAATGTAAACAAAACAGTCACGTGACACAGCACCACTTGCGACGTTGCCAGTTCGATGGCCGCGGCCTGTAGTTAAAGGCGGCCGTGCCGACACGCACTTTTAATATTTACACACTTTGCACTTGCACTTGCAGAATGCAGACCAGACAAGTAAGTAAAGTACAGTTGTATAATCAAGTAGAAGTAGTCTGTTGTTATTCAACTTGTACAGTACATTATTTTCACAAAATATGCTAAGTTAATTATTATTTATCTAAATCATTTGAAGAATCGAGTTTTATCAGCAACAATACGTAAGTTTGATTTTGGTAACAAAAACTAAAAACTATAGATTAAAGAACCAGCTCAGATTTCAGTTCTAATCTTATTGTCAAATTGCCAATGTATTTATTAACTTATTAAGTAAGCCTATTTTGTAGTTTGGTCTAGGCATTGTCTTTATAAATATAGCCAACATAGATCTGAAAGTAGCATCCATAAATTGCGTATATTTAATCCCTTCATAAAGTTGAACGCAGATAAATTTAAATGTATTTTTTAAAGTAATAATTGAACAACAAAATGACCTTCACGAAAGTATTCGTGCTACTGACCTATTGTCTTAACTTTACAGCATTATAGACATTAAATTTATGATCCATACCGTGTCTGTTCGTTTAAAGCCTATCATTGGCCTGTTCCTGTTCTAAGTTAAGTTAGTACTGTATTCGTGGGTTAGACATAGCCTATAGAAGCATTACATAGTTAGTTTCTCTAAATTTTTGTCCAGACAAGGTAGTATCAGGGAGTGCCTAGGCTAGGCTTCACTGTGGACATCTAACTGATAACCTATTTAGTCTACCATGATCATTTAATGCTTAGGGAATTAAGTAACAGGCATGCAGGCTCAATGGTTCAATGTAGGATAATTAAATCTTAACCTTAATGGCTTCGCCAATTATTGGTATCAGCCCTAAATGAAAGAGTTGAATAAAAAAAAAAACTTGTCTGGATGTCAATGTATGTAGTAGAGATCATCTAACTCATTTATGTTTTACCAGGTTGGATTGCTGAACAGCATGGGTGAAAGATTTCTACAACAGTACATCTACAGTAGATGTAACTAGTAAATAGGAGGATGGTGGTTGAACTAATTGCTACAACATTTTTCCATTCAGAAAAAAATATGGGGACCGAGCAAGGCTAAACCAAACAAATGCAAATGCTACTTAATGTTGGTAAGTTTAATGAAATTACATCCGTACCTACATGGCTTTGCCAATTATTGGTATCAGCCTAAATGAAAGAGTGAGTTGAAATGCATAAACTTGTTTGAATTTCGATGTAATAAAGATGCAATCTTGTTTTTTACAATTGTTTAAAGGGAACGGAAAAATCAGTTGTTTGATCTGGGTAACTATTATTAACCAATTAAACTAAAAATTTGAATTAAAAAAATTCAACTGCATTTTAACACATTCAATGCGGCGGGTCCACCGGTGGGGGATCGCGCATTGCATTGTTTGCCGGATCAGTGTGGTTCAGCCATTGTCCGGGGAACGTTGTAATCTTTACCAGCCTGTAGCTTATAATGCGAGCTTTATTCTGGTGTAGGTTGGTACAAAAATTGCCCGTAAAATCCCGTCTGGCAATGCTTTTGTCCCGTTTTCGGGGATATCTCAATTCGAGCCGTATTACAGAGACTCTGGTTATTGATCCAGGCAGTGCTGCTACCTTTGGGTGTTTCAGTGAACTACGTCCACTTTCGGAGTAACGCAGAACAATCACCACTGCTCTTTTGTGATTCGTCTTACTGAGATATTTCAATACCAATAGCGATCGCTGATTCAGTTAGCGCGTCGGGGCTCCGCCCAGGCCTCGCCGCAATTGGCGAGCGCCTGTTTAAAGGTTTTCAGCAGCGGAATGTGTTAATTATTTACAGCTTGCAGACTAATTAAAAGTGTAATTCAAAATAGTTTTTTATTTAAAAAAAATTTTATTTTATTTTTTTTTTTTTATTACATTTGGGCCTAATTAATTAGTTTATAATAGCTACCCATATCACTAGTGGTGATCTATTAAACTTATTGTTACATTGTTGTCTAATGTTAAACTGGTTAAACATAGACTAAACATTCATAATAGCTCAATAGACATAACAGTAAATGATATAGCCTACCTAACTTATATAATATCTAACAGATTAGCCTACCTGAGACGGGTAACCATTAGCTTCAGTAGAAATAAATTTGTCTTAGTGTGGATTTATAATTTATTATAATGTCATCATGAATAATACCCTGCGGTTTCGGGGTTAGAATAGGATCGCAGCCCTCCCGGGCTTGTCGTAAGAGGCGACTAAAAGGGTGACTGACGTCCTCACTGGGAGTCCCTGGGAGTGCCCCTGTTGTGTTGCAGGGGCTGATGTGTGCTCTGCACTGCCGATGGGCATTCCCAGTGTGTCGTGAGGAGCCAGCCACTTCGGTCCTTGGTCAGGAAGTGCGGCATGGATGCAGAGGTCGGGCTCTGCATTGCAACAGGTGACCCCCGGCACGTCAGGTATCCGGTGCTGGGCAAACGGAGGTCGGGCCCCGGGGAACTGGGGTAGGGGATTGTCCCCGAGGGTATACCCGCTCCTGACTAAATCCGGGCCGTCTCTTGCCGCACGATGCGCTGGTAAACACATGTATGGCTTGTCAAAACCCCCCACCCAACACATTATTTAACAGCAGCTCAAATGAGCAAAAATCGAAGTCGGAAAAGGAGTGGAGCCCTTTTGGGCGTAGCTCCAAGGTCAAGAGGTCGCCACCAGCGAACAACGTTAAGGCAACTCCACCACCTGCAACCTTTAAGGGCTCAAATGAGTTCCCCCCACTAAGATCTCCTTTGACAAGTGGAGAAGGAAAAGTAGACGTTGAACCGGCGTTGACGGGAACCCTCCTGGAAAGTACAGCGCCGAAAATCAGCCCCCAGAGGTCGGATCCTGAACTTCAGCGTTACCGTCAACAATACGACGATGCTGATGAGGAGGAGTCTGACCTCCTGGTAGAGATGATGGACCTCATCAATAATATGGAGGGAACCTTGAAGCTCCGGACCAACGTAAACCGGTCAATCAAGGACGGTCTCCCAAAGGTGAAGGATCGGGTTGCCCGAGTTCTCGAAATTAAAGGCTTGATGAGACAGGCTTTAGTTAATGAACGGGAGCTTGTGAACCAAGTTTTAGCCCCTAAACTGAACGACAAGGGCGGGAATCAAAGGAAACGGGCAAGGAGCTCACCAGCGGAGAGCCCCGATCTTCCTGAATTGGCCAATCAGCCTCTGTCAGATGTTGAGCAGAAGGTCGAGGACAGGGCCACCCAGATGACACCCCCTACTGAGCACACTCCAGCTCTAAAGAAGCGCCCTCAGCAGACCAGGGAGCTTGCCTCTCTCCCAACGGTTGACGGAAGCAGCTCTATGAACTCTGCTGTGGCACCATCAAATGTGGGTAACTGGGAGAAGAGGCTTTCCCGCAAAGAAAAGAGGAAATTGAGACGAATGGAGGCTGTCTCTAACAAAGAACCTGCAGCAAGAGATCGAAAGATTGCTGATCCTGCTCCGGCGAGGGAGGTTCGTGGAAAGGCCCCCCCTGTTTCAAAGAAACCCAGGCCGAGAAAGCCCAGGGCTGAGGCAATCCTGATCAATCCCTTAGGGGGGCGCTCTTTTGCTGAAGTCTTGGGTCGACTCAAGTCTAAGGCCAAGCCAGAGGAGACAGATACGATTGTTAAGTCAATCAGGTGTACCCAGAATGGGAAAGTTCTCCTCGAGCTGGGGAAATCTGGTGACCGAGTGGCTTTTGCTGCAAAGGTCAGAGAGGCTCTGGGGGACCACGGTACTGTTCGGGAACTCGAGCCTAGGACCTCGGTGGAGATCCGGGACCTTGACGGTCTTTCGACTGAGGCTGAAGTCAGGGAGGCTATCAACAAGGCCATCCCTGATATCCAAAATGCCGACTCCCTTAAAGTATGGCTTACGCGGCCCAACCGCAGCGAGCAACGCATAGCTATCGCTGAAATGCGAAACCAAGATGCCAGCAAGCTGCTTAATCTCACACACCTGAGAATTGGATGGGTCAATTGCAGGCTCAGACGGAGGGTGGTTGTACCGCGATGCTTTCGCTGCCTCGGGTTTGGTCACTCTTCCCGAAACTGTAAAGGACCCGACCTATCCAAGAATTGTTTCAGGTGTGGCGGCTCGGGCCACAACAGGAAGAACTGTACCGCAGCAGAGCGTTGTTTTCTCTGCGCAGAGAAAGGCCAAAAGGACGCCTCATTAGGTCACATTCCAGGGGCTGGGCGATGCAGTGTTTTCAAGGCTGCACTCGACCTTGAGAAGGCTAGGTCTGGGAAGTGAGGATTCTCCAGGGTAACCTTGAGAGGTCCAGAACGGCTGACTCCCTCTTAGATCAGCTGGCCCAAGAGATCGGTGCGGACACCCTTCTGATCAGCGAGCAGTACCGTGACAGGGACCCACACTTCTGGTTCCCAGATTCTCTTGGTACTGCCGCTTGTTGGGTTCGAAACAGCACGGAAGCACCAGTGCGAGATCACGGACGCGGCCGAGGCTTCGTTTGGGTCAGGTGTAGGGACGTCACGTTTTTTAGTGTCTACCTTACCCCCAACGAGCCAATTCGGGAATTCCGTCTGAAGATTGACCGCTTAGAAGACAGTGTACGGGGTACCGTTGGGCATGTCGTTGTTGCTGGTGATTTTAATGCGAGGGCTGTGGAGTGGGGTATGACCTCTACAAACTCCCGGGGGAAATACATCCTGGACTTTGCCGCCAGGGCCGGACTTGTCGTCTTAAACGAGGGCGACACGCCTACTTTCCGGCGCCCCGGCATGAGAGGTACGATCCCCGATATCTCCTTCTCGTCGGAATCACTACTAGCACGGATCTCCAACTGG